GCCATCGCTCTGAAGTCAAGCTGTCTCTCTGAAGTCAAATCGTCTCTCTCTCAAGTCTAGCTGTCTCCCCCTCTACTGACTGAGTCGGGGGTCTTTCTTTATGGGACTCAGAATGGAGAGTGTGGGCTCATTGGTTTGTGAGTATGCAAAAAACGTTAAAGTGAAGACACCACTCAATGGTGGGCATGCCAGTGTAGAAAACCAGTTAGGAGAGGTCGGGCGCGGTGGCTCGCGCCTGTAGTCCCAGGACTTTGGGAGGCTGAGGTGGGCGGATCACGAGATCTCCTGACCTGGCTAACATGGTGAAACCCCGTCTCTACTAAAAATACAAAAAATTATCCGGGCGTGGTGGCGGGCGCCTGTAGTCCCAGCTACTCGGGAGGCTGAGACAGGAGAATGGTGTGAACCCGGGAGGTGGAGCTTGCAGTGAGCCGAGATCGCGCCGCTGCACTCCAGCCTGGGTGACAGCGAGACTCCGTCTCAAAAAAAAACCAAAAAAAAAAACCCAATTAGGAAAGGGTAGCTGTATATAAAATAGATGAAAAGCGGGGATTAGAGGAAAGCATGCCAAAGAGGAAGACAAGTTCTCAGTCTGGTCTGAGGATTTAACTTGTATCTTGGCTTTCAGGCTTTAAACTGTCTTTGGCTTGGAGGTTGCACTGGGGACCTGCCCCTATTTACCTTGGCATTTGGCTGCCTCCTTTTGTTATCACTTGTACTTTGTCTGGCCGAGGCCTCTCCCTTGGCAGTGTCTTGTCAGCAGTACTCTCTGGGGCCTGATCCCTCCTGGTAATCTCTCCAGCTCAGATTTCTTCTTACACTTTGGATGCATATATTAACTGTCCACTCCACATCTCTGCTTGAGTATTTTATAGACCCAAGCTCAACATGATTAAAACTGGCCTCTTGGATTTTCCCAAACCCACAACCTCTGGGGCATTCCTTCACCTTCTTGTTTGATAGCAGACCCCTTGGAATTATTTTTGACCTGTTTTTTTCTTGTCTTACACATCTTATTTGTCAGAAAAACTTCTGGGGCATACATCCAGAATATATCCACAGAGTCTGACCTTTTGCAATCCTCTCCATGACATCTTTTGCCTGGATTACAGCAACCGTTGCAGAGCAGTCTTGTTGCTGCTCAGATCTTGGCCTCTGGCTTAGCATTTAGAGTGCCTGTGTAGGATGAGTCAGGTTGCTAAACAGCAATCCTCTGCCCAACATTTACGTTTTTTACTGAGTAAAAGCCAAAATTCCACCAGTAGGTTATGTGGTCCATTACATCTCTGACTTCACTTCCTTCTCAGCCTCTTGATCACTATGCTCCAGCTCGACTTAGCTTCTTGCTGGATGTACTAGTCATAACACCACCTTTGTCTTTGTACCAAATGTGTCCTTTTCCTGGAGTATGTTTCCTAGGGAGCCTTCCAACTTATTCTGTTATAATTTATAAAGGATTTATAATTTATAATCATTTATAATTAAATATTAAATATGTCAACCATATTTAATAAGTTGATCATTGGCTGGGTAGGTGCAGTGGCTCATGCCTGTAATCCTAGCACTTTGGGAGGCTGAGGCGGGAGGATCACTTGAGTCTGGGAGGTAGAGGTTGCAGTGAGCCATGTTTGTGCCACTGCACTCCAGTCTGTATAACAAAGCGAGACTCTGTCTCAAAAAAAAAAAAAAAAAAGTTGATCATCCTTTGGGACTTGACCATATATTAGGACACTTTTTTTTTTTTTTGAGACAGAGTTTCCTTCTTGTTCCCCCAGACTGGAGTGCAATGGCGTGATCTTGGCTCACTGAAACCTCTGCCTCCCTGGTTCAAGCAATTCTCCTGCCTCAGCCTCCCGAGTAGCCGTGCCTGGCTAATTTTTTTCTATTATTAGTAGATACAGGGTTTTACCATGTTGGCCAGGCTGGTCTGGAACTCCTGACCTCAGGTGATCTGCCTGTTTCGGCCTCCCAAAGTGCTGGGACTAGAGGCATGAGCCACCACGCCCGGCATAGGACACTATTTAACTCTGTTTTGGGACTTTTTCTTTTCACTGGAGTATTTTTCTTTTTATTAGAGGAGTTCATAATAAACAGTAATATATAGTAAGATAAGCCCATTTATAATTTTTGTTTTTGACATACCTTTTTTTCCTTTTTTTTTGAGATGGAGTCTTGCTCTGTCGCCCAGGCTGGAGTGCAGTGGCGTGATCTCAGCTCACTGCAAGCTCTGCCTCCCAGGTTCACACCATTCTCCTGCCTCAGCCTCCCGAGTAGCTGGGACTACAGGTGCCAGCCAGCATGTGGAGCTAGTTTTTTGTATTTTCAGTAGAAACGGGGTTTCACTGTGTTAGCCAGGATGGTCTCGATCTGCAGACCTCATTATCTGCTCACCTCAGCCTCCCAAAGTGCTGGGATTACAGGCATGAGCCATCACACCTGCCCCCCCACTCCCCCACCTCCGCCCCCTTTTTTTTTTGAGATGGAGTCTCACTCTGTAGCCCAGGCTGGAGTGCAGTGGCACAATCTCGGCTCACTGCAGCCTCCGCCTCCTGGGTCCTGGTTCAACCAATTCTCCTGCCTCAGCCTCCCAAGTAGCTGGGATTGCAGGCATGCGCCACCATGCCCAGCTAATTTTTGTATTTTTAGTGGACGGAGTTTCACCATATTGGCCAGGCTGGTCTTGAACTCCTGACCTTGTGGTCCGCCCGCCTCAGCCTGCCGAAGTGCTGAGATTACAGGCGTGAGCCACTGTGCCTGGCCCCTTTTTTCCCGTTTAAATAGAAATTCAGTGGATCTCCTTCGCCCTTTTTTTTTTTTTTTTGAGACGAAGTCTTGCTCTGTCGCCCAGACTGGAGTGCAATGGTGCAGTCTCGGCTCACTGCAACCTCTGTCTCCCAGGTTCAAGCGATTCTCCTGCCTCGGCCTCCTGAGTAGCTGGGATTACAGGCCACCTTTTTTTTTTTTTTTCCCCCAGAACCAAATGTCAGCTTACCTTCTCCACCTTTTATAAAAGCAACTTAAGAACAACAGCCAGGCTGGGCAAGGTGGCTTATGCCTGTAATCACAACACTTTGGGAGGCTTAAGGTGGGAGGATCAGTTGAGCCCAGGAGTTTGAAACCAACCTGGGTAACATAGTGAGACCCCATCTCTCCAAAAATTTAAAAATCAGCCTGGTGCAGTGACTTATGCCTGTAATCGCAGTACTTTGGGAGGCTGAGGCCAGCAGATCGCTAGAGCCCAGGAGTTAGAGACTAACCTGGGCAACATGGTGAAACCCTGTCTCTGTGAAAAGACAAAAAATTAACGGGATGGTGGTATGCATCTGTAGTCCTAGCTACTCAGGAGGCTGAGGTGAGAAGATTGCTTGAGCCCAGGAGGTTGAAGCTGCAGTTAGCTGTGTTCGTGCCGCTGCACTCCAGCCTGGATGACAGAACAAGACCGTGTTTCAAAAAAAAAAAAGCAGGGGCTGGGTGCGGTGGCTCAAGCCTGTAATCCTAGCATTTTGGGAGGCTGAGGCGGGTTGAGGTCAGGGGTTTGAGACCACCCTAACCAACATGATGAAACCCCCTCTCTATTAAATACAAAAATGAACCAGGCCTAGTGGCGCGCCCCTGTAACGCTAGCTACTCAGGAGGCTGAGGCAGGAGAATTGCTTGAACCTGGGAGGTGGAGGTTGCAGTGAACTGAGATCGCGCCATTGCACTACAGCCTGGGTAACCTTCCTGGAGCCCCAGGTACTTGGGAGGCTTAGGCAGGAGTATTGCTTGAGCCCAGGAATTCGAGGCTATAGCATGCTATGATCATGCCTGTGAATGTACTCCAGCATGGGCAAAACAGCAAGACCTGGCCTCTAAAAGGAAAAATGATTTATTACCTATATTTTGAGACAGGAGTCTAGCTCTGTCACCCAGACTGGAGTGCAGTGGCATGATCTTGGCTCACTGCAACCTCCACCTCCTAGGTTCAAGTGATTCTCCTGTCTCAGCCTCCCTAGTAGCTGGAATTACAGGTGCGCACCACTATGCTTGACTACTTTTTGCATTTTTAGTAGAGACAGGGTTTCACCACGTTGACCAGGCTGGTCTTGAACTTCTGACTTCAAGTGATCTGCCTGCCTTGGCCACCCAAAGTGCTGGGATTACAGGCATGAGCCACCACGCTCAGCCTAGGTTTTTTTTTAAAATCAATTTTCTTTTTTAATCAATTCTGCTAAAAGGCTGCCACCTCACAGATTGACTACCAGGCCACCACACAGGATCTTAGGAGGCCAGGCTCCTCCCCCCTGCACAAGGCTCAAACTTCCCCTGCCTCCACCTCATTCTCCCAGTACGCAGGTGGGTCCTCAGTCTGTTGCAGGCATGTGCAGACAAGACCCTGGGCAGATTCCCTTATCTGCAGAAAAGCATCTGGTGTAAACACTTGTGGGGTTGGTCGGAGATTCTCCGGGGACCCCCCCTTATCTACCTCCTGCATCTATCACTAGCGGGACCTCATATAATTTTTGTATGAATTAAGAAAGTAAGCTGGGCATAGTGGTTCACATCTGTAATCCCAGCACTTTGGGAGGCCAGGGCAGGAGGATAGCTTGAGCCTGGAGTTCAAGACCAGCCTGGGCAACATGGTGAGATCTTGTCTCTACAAATAAAAAATTAGCTGGGTGTGGTGACGTGTGCCTGTTGTCCCAGCTACTTGGGAGGCTGAGGTGGAAGAATTGCTTGTGCCCCAGTGGTCAAGATTGCAGTGAGTTGTAATCATGCCACAGCACTCCAGCCTGAGTGACAAAGCGAGACCCTGTCTGAAAAAAAAAAGCAATCAATATACCAGCAGAGTCCTCATACCAGGATTTCTCATTTTCCTACAATGTATAATATTAATAGTAGGCATCTTATGTAGCATTTTCTCTTCAGCTATCAACAGTGAACATGGCAAGGTGTTAGATCTCACACATGTTGTGTGTTCTCCACTTCTGATCACTATAGAATGAAATGTACTGTTCTAGGGATCAGTGTCCTTCAGTGATGTGGCTTTGGGCTTCACCCAGGAGGAGTGGCAGCATCTGGACCCTGCCCAGAGGACCCTGTACAGAGATGTGATGCTGGAGAACTACAACCTCCTCCTCTGTACAGAGACGTGATGCTGGAGAACTACAGTCTCCTCCTCTCAGTGGGTAAGGATTGTGTAATTTAAAACTCCAAATAACATTTATTTCCTTTTTAGCTGCTGATTGCAGATGGTTTCTTTGTATGATTATGAGTTAAAGGCTTGAAACTCAGGAGTTGAAGCTTGATTGATCCCTTTTGGGCACTGTAAAAAATATCTGTGGTGTTTTCCGTAATGAAATGCTCAAGTGGACCTATTTTTGTGCAGACACAGCTTTGTCCTCCACAGGCTATCTGGCCCACGTCCTGTGTCATTTTCATTCACAGGGTATTGTATTACCAAACCAGTGGTGATTTGCAAGTTGGAGCATGGAGAGGTGCTGTGGATATTAGAGGAAGAGTCCCCAAGTCAGAGCCACCTAGGTGAGTTAATAAGTATATAGGAATCTATAATCCCAGGGAGAAATTGGATCCTAGGGAGATAGTTCACATATTGACATCTTTGAAATTTTTCAGGAATACATTTTTAGAGTTACCAGAACTTTGGAAGTGACTAAGAAGAGCTGGCCTGCTTGCCTCAGATGTATATATTATTACACACCAGCAGATAACAGCTAAATGATCTTTGTTTTCTTCCAAAAACTTAATCCTTGCCTCTCTCAGTTTTGTCAAATGAATGTCATTTGACTCTTCCTTCTATATCATTTCAGTTATCTTCTTTTCATCATATATTATGTATTTATTCAATACGTATTAATTTGGCAGCTACGATGTTGGCAGTTCCATCTGTGTTAGAGATATAGCTCTAATACCATGGCTGTGTTCTATTGGTAGAAAAGAATGAGATGTAGTGTGCGCTTTGTGGAAGGGCCTTTTTGAAGTCAGTAGTTTAATAAACACAGATTTGAATCATGTGTCAGTGGAATATTCTGGCCAGATGGTATATCCTGTGTCGTGAACCTTAGGCCAGAGTGTCATTTGTGCAGGACAGCAGTGAGCCAGGCTGGGTGGAAGTCGGGGTAATGGGGAGCATGTGAGAGATGCTGTCAGACAGACTGCTCACTGGGGTGCTATATATTTGGAATTTGTAGCCAAAACAGAATTTGCTGCTAAATTGGATTATGGGCATAAGAAAAAGCTAATAAGCATGATCTCAAAGGTTTTATACTGAGGCACTGGCTGTGTGATGATACCATTAACTGGATGGGAGAAAATCGGGAGAAACAGTTTTGGGAAGAAATAAGAGATAGACACATAAATTTAAACAAACATTTTTTGTATAAAATAGTAATGATGCCCAGTTGGATGTAAAACAATAAAAATAAAATACTGAAAAATAATCCAACATGTGAATCAGTTACCAGTTGATCTGAATTGTGTTCTAAAATCCTTGTTTTTTTTTTCTTTTTCTTTTTCTTTCTTTTTTTTTTTCTTTTTCTTTTTTTTTTTTTTTTTTGAGACAGCCTCTCTCTGTCTCACAGGCTAGAGTGCAGTGTTACAATCTTGACTCAGTGCAACCTCTGCCTCCCAGGCTCAGAGATTCTCATACCTCAGCCTCCCTAGTAGTTGGGACCACAGATGGTGTGTATCACCACACCTGACTAGTTTTGGTATTTTTAGTAGAGATGAGGTTTTGCCATCTTGGCCAAGCTGGTCTCAAACTCCTGGCCTCAAGTGATCTGCCCCGCTTGGCCTCCCAAAGTGCTGGGATTACAGGTATGAGCCACTGCGCCTGGCCTCTAAATTCCTTTCGTTGTTAAGAAGAAATACTGTTGCATTAAATATAAATGGTAACATGTAATGAGTAAATGCTAAAAGAAAGTAATATGTGTAATTTCTAGACTTTTAAAAAGAAGAAAATGGAAAAGAAAAAAATTAAATGTATTGGATTAGACTAAAAAAAAAAAAAAAAAAAAAAAAGACCAATGAGGCCGGGCTTGGTGACTCAGGCCTGTAATCCCAGCACTTTGGGAGGCCGAGGCGGGTTGGTCACCTGAGGTCAGGAGTTCGAGATCAGCCTGACCAGCACGGCAAAATGCCATCTCTACTGAAAGTACAAAAATTAGCTGGGTGTGGTGGTGGATGCCTGTAATCCCAGCTATTCAGGAAGCTGAGGCAGGAGAAACTTCAACCTGGGAAGCACACATTGGCGCGAGCAGAGATCGTGCCACTGCACTGCAGCCTGGGTGACAAGAGCAAGACTCCATCTCAAAAAAAAAAAAAAAAATGAAAGAGTGGGGAAAGGCCGGTAAAAATTAGAACAACTGGAAACTCTTAAGTGAAAAAGAGAAAACCAATCCAGTTATTTTAGAAGTCATAATACAGTGAAAGGGGCTAAACCATCTTACTAAAAGATGGATATTGTCAAATCAAAAACCAAGTTATATAAGCTCAGTGCGGTGGCTCACTCCTGTAATCCCAGCACTTTGGGAGACTAACCCAAGAGGATTGCTTGAGGTCAAGAGTTTGAGACCAGCCTAGGCAGCATAATGAGGATCCATCTGTACAAAAAATGAAAAATTAGGCCAGGCACGGAGGCTCCTGCTTATAATCCCAGCACTTTGGGAGGCCAAGGTGTGCAGATCACCTGAGGTTGGGAGTTCGAACCAGCCTGACCAACATGGAAAAACCCGTCTCTACTAAAAATACAAAATTAGCGGGGCGTGGTGGTGCATGCCTGTAATCCCAGCTACTTGGGAGGCTGACGCAGGAGAATCACTTGAACCCGGGAGGCGGAGTTTGTGGTGAGCCGAGATTGTGCCATTGCACTCCAGCTTGGGCAACGAGAGTGAAACTCCTTCTCAAAAATAAATAAATAAATAAATTACCCAGATATGGTCGTACACCAGTAGTCTCAGTTTTGGGAGGCTGAAGTAGGAGGATCGCTTGAGCCCAGGAGTTTGAAGCTGCAGTGAGCTATGATCATGCCACTGCATTCCAGTCTGGATGACAGAGTAAGAGCCTGTCTGTAACAACAAAACAAAAATCAAGCTATATGGAGTTTGAGAATCATATATGAAATGTGAACAGGAAACCTTAGAATATAAAAGAAGTATAAATGATATATGGTCCAAATAATAAACAAAATAGAATGTTACCTCTCAGTGGACCCAAATTTAGCTTTTGAGTTTATTTTTGACACAGTTCTTTTTTTTTTTTTTTTTTAAATGAGATGGAGTCTCGCGTTGTCTTCCAGGCTGGAGTGCAGGTTGATCTCTTTTGATCCTATCTGAAAAAAAATTTTTTTTTCTAACTTAGATAAACAGAGAAAATTTATATATGTGTGTGTGTGTGTATATATATATATATATATTTATTTGTGTGTGTGTGTATATATGTATCTATATAAACTTGTATTGATGGGGTCTTGCTGTGTTGCCCAGACTGGTCTTGAACTCCTGGCCTTAAGCAATTCTTCCACCTTTGCCTCCCAGAATGCTAGTTTAGAGGCTTGATCCACTGTGCCTGGCCTACTTATATTTTTTAATTGAATGAAACTCATTCTGTTTTTGCTGTTATCGTTTGAGTTAATTGGTCCCATTTATAATCTAAGAAGCATGATACTATTTTAGTGATCTATTTTTCTAAAGTTTGAAACATTTTGCTATGTTATTTCCTTAGCAATTATTTCAACATTACTCATCAGTTATGTCCAACTGTGGTAAAATAAACTAAAATAGAAAAGAATAGAATGATGGAATTGCTTATAAGGATAATACAATAGTGAAGATCACTGTCACTATTATATCATCCTTCAGTTTTCTTATTGAGCTGCTTGAAGTATTGCATCACTTATGACAAAAATATAAAAGAAGCCTGGAGAAACCTTATTTGTAGTTTCTTTCTTTCTTTCTTTTTTTTTAATTTTGTTTATTCATTTCTTTTTGAGATGGAGTCTCACTCTGTTGCCCAGGCTGGAGTGGAGCGGTGCAATCTCAGCTCATTGCAACCTCTACCTCTCAGGTTCAAGTGCTTCTACTGCCTCAGCCACCCGAGTAGATGGGACTACAGACACCTACTACTGTGTCCTGGCTTTTTTTTTTTTGTATTTTTACTAGAGATGGGGTTTGCCATGTTGGCAAGGCTGGTTTTGAACTCCTGACCTCAGGTGATCCTCCTGCCTTGGCCTCCCAAAGTACTGGGATTACAGGTGTCAACCATTGTACCTGACTCTTCCTTTTCTTTTTGTTTTGTTTCTTTTCTTTCTTTCTTTTCTTTCCTTTCTTTCTTTTTCTTTCTTTCTTTTTTCCTTCCTCCCTCCCCTCCCCTCCCCTCCCCTCCCCTCCCCTCCCCTCCCCTCCCCTCCCCTCCCCTCCCCTTTCCTTTCCTTTCCTTTCCTTTCCTTTCCTTTCCTTGACACTGAGTCTTGCTCTGTCACCCAGGCTGGAATGCAGTGGCATGATCTCAGCTCACTGCAACCTCTGCCTCCTGGGTTCAAGCAATTCCCCTGCCTCAGCCTCCTGAGTAGCTGGGATTACAGGTGCGCACCACCACACCTGGCTACTTTTTGTATTTTTAGTAGAGATGTGGTTTCGCCATGTTGTCCGGGCTGGTCTGGAACGCTTGACTTCAGGTGATCCACCCTCCTCGGCCTCCGAAAGTGCTGGAATTACGGGCGTGAGCCACTGCGCCCAACTCTCTCTCTCTCTCTCTCTCTTTTTTTTTTTTTTTTTTTAATAATTCAATGGGCACAGTTGAAGTTGAGAACTTTTATTTTCTTCCGTTAATTGCAAAGAGTAGAAAATTGACAAGAGGAAGTCTCTTCACAATTATTAGGCAAATCAGAAGATGAAGCAGAAGCATTGTAGACTCTAGTAATTACAGTGTAATTGATCATATAAGTGAGATCTCAGACTATGAGTTACATGATGATATTCTAGATGAATAAACGTATGCATATGATCCTGTTATAAGAACAGCCTGGGTCGGGTGCAGTGGCTTATGCCTGTAATCTCAGCACTTTGGGAGGCCGAGGCAGGTGGATTTCTTGAGCCCAGTAGGTCAAGGCTGCAGTGAGCTGTGATGCTGCCACTGCATTACAGCCTGGGCAACAGGAGTTTGAGACCAGCCTGGATAACATGGCAAAAAACTCCATCTCTACAAAAAATACAAAAAATTAGCCAGGCATGGTAGTACATACATGTAATCCCATTTACTCGAGAAGCTGAGGTGGGAGCATCACCTGAGCCTGGGAAGTTGAGGCTGCAGTGAGCCATGATTATACCACTGCACAATCCAGCCTGGGTGACAGAGCCAGACACTGAGTCAAAAAAAAAAAAAAAAAAAAAGCATGTGAATATGTCTCCTTTTCATAAGAAATATATTAACATTTATAATTCTTGTTTCTAGACTGCTGCATAGATGATAACCTGTTGGAGAAGAGACAGGAAAATCAAGACCAGCATTTGCAGAAAGTTGATTTTTTCAGCAACAAAACACTGACTATGGACAGAAATGGTGTATTAGGAAAAACATTTTATCTTGACACAAACCCCATTCTATTAAGAAAAATACGTGGCAACTGTGACTCATATAGAGTGAATTTGAATTATATTTTGGAATTAATTATTAGTAATAGAAGCTCCTTTATAAGGAACCCTTCTGAGTGTAATGCACATGGGAAAGTTTTCCTTTGTATGAAGCGTGAAAATCCTTATGCCAGAGGGAAACCTTTGGAATATGATGGAAATGGGAAAGCCGTCTTTCAGAATGAGGACCTATTTAGGCATCAAACTCTGAAGCAGTGTTTTGAATACAATCAGTGTGGGAAGGCTTTTCATGAAGAGGCAGCCTGCATTACCCATAAGAGAGTGTGCTCATGGGAGACCCTGTGAATATAATGGACATGTGAGAGCCTTTCTGATAGACCAATATTCATTGTTCATCAGATAACTCACATAAGGGAGAGTTCCTATGAATTCAATGAATGTGAGAGGAGGTCTGGTGAGAAGCCACCTGTAAGTAAACACCACAGAGTTAATGGAGATGGAACACTATGAGTGTAATGCGAGAGAATAGTTTTGGCAAGAAATCACTCCTCATTCTACGAAGTTACAGAGGAGAGAAAACTTTTGACTGTAATAGAGATTTGAAAGTATTCTGCAAGAAGCCAAATTTCACTCAGCATCAAGAAACACGTATAGGAAAGAATGCCTATAAAAATCAGCATGCTAGTACATTTTGCTATAAGCCAAAGCTTTCTGTATATCAGAAAACAGATAGAGGAGAAAAACTCTATGAATGTAGTGAATGTGGGAAAACTTTCTACTAGAAGTCATCCCTCACAGCACATCAGAGAACACACACAGGGGAGCAACCCTATGAATATAATGAAACCTTTTACCAGAATCCTGACTTTGCTAAACATCAGAGAGACAACATAGAGGAAACCCTTGTCAACATCCTGAAGGCTCAGAAACCTTCACCTTCTTGGACTCATTCTATAGCAGAAACAACCCAGGTTGGGGTGAGAACACCCAATAAAGATGAGAAATCTTTTGCCTAGAAGTGATGTTTCATTGAACAGCAAATAATTGACATTTTATCTTTTTTTCTTTTCTTTTGTTGTTATTTTTTTGAGACAGAGTTTCGCTCTTATTGCCCAGGCTGGAGTGCAATGGCGTGATCTTGGCTCATCGCAACCTCTGTCTCCCGGGTTCAAGCGATCCTCCTGCCTCAGCCTCCCAAGTAGCTGGGATTACAGGCGTGCGCCACCATGCCTGGCTAATTTTGTATTTTTAGGAGAGACGGGGTTTCACCATGTTGGTCAGGCTGTTCTTGAACTCCTGAGCTCAGGTGATCCACCCACCTTGGCCTGCCAGAGTGTTAGGATTACAGGCGTGAACCACCACCCCCAGCCCTTCTTTTTTTGTTGTTTTTTGTTTTTTTTTTTGAATCAGAGTCTCACTCTGTTGCCCAGGCTGGAGTGCAGTGACACAATCTCAGTTCACTGCAGCCTCCTCCTCCCAGGTTCAAGTGATTGTTGTGCCTCAGCCTCCCAAGTAGCTGGGACTATAGGCATGTGCCACCATGCTCAGCTAATTTTTGTATTTTTTGTAAAGACAGATTTTTACCATGTTGGCCAGGGTGGTCTGGAACTCCTGACCTCAAGTGATCTGCCCACCTTGGCCTCCCAAAGTGCTGAGATTACAGATGTGAGCCACCATGCCTGGCCAATAATTGATATTTTTATTTATTATTTTTTTGAGATGGAGTCTCACTCTGTTGCCCAGGCTGGAGTGCAGTGGGGTAATCTCGGTTCACTGCAACCTCCGCCTCCTGGCTTCAAGCGATTCTTCTGCCTCAGCCTCCTGAGTAGCTGGGATTACAGGTGTGTGCCACCAGACCCAGCTAATTTTTGTATTTTTAGTAGAGACAGGGTTTCGCCATGTTGGCCAGGCTGGTCTTGAACTCCTGACCTCAGGTGATCTGCCTGCTTTGGCCTCCCAAAGTGCTGGGATTACAAGCATGAGGCACCGCACCTGGCCTTTATTCTCTTTTTATTCTTACCTTAGAATCACAAGATGGTAGTGCAGGAAGAGTATACAGTATTTAACTATTTCTGCCTTATTTGAAAGATAAAATATATGGAGCCTGAGAGAATCAGTGAATTATTACAGGTCACTCCTTTGTTACTGATCAAGATAAGAGTTTATTCCGGGCGCGGTGGCTCACACCTGTATCCCAGCACTTTGAGAGGCCGAGGCAGGTGGATCACCTGAGATCAGGAGTTCGAGACCAGCCTGGCCAACATGGGGAAACCCCGTCTCTACTAAAAATACAAAAAATTAGCTGGGCGTGGTGGCAGGTGCCTACAATCTCAGCTCCTCGAAAGGCTGGGGCAGGAGAATCGCTTGAACCTGGGAGGTGGAGGTTGCAGTGAGTTGAGATCGTGCCACTGCATGCCAGCCTGGGCAACAAAGCGAGACTTTGTTTCAAAAAAAGAAAGTTTCGTGGTTTCTTTATTCCTTTGCACAGCTGAAACAAGTCTTATCAAAAGAGTATGAAACTGTAATGAAATTCGAACAAATACTAAAAAATCTTTTTTTTTTTTTTTTTTTTTTGAGGCGGAGTCTTCACTCTGTCGCCCAGGCTGGAGTGCAGTGGCACCATCTCGGCTCACTGCAAGCTCCGCCTCCCGGGTTCGCGCCATTCTCCTGCCTCAGCCTCCGGAGTAGCTGGGACTACAGGCGCCCACCACCGCGCCCGGCTAATTTTTTGTATTTTAGTAGAGACGGGGTTTCACCGTGTTAGCCAGGATGGTCTCGATCTACTGACCTCGTGATCCGCCCGCCTCGGCCTCCCAAAGTGCAGGGATTACAGGCGTGAGCCACCGCGCCCGGCCTAAAAAATCTTGTACTGAAGCATTCATTCTCTTTTTTAGAGTTTCTGTAAATTGTTCAACAATATTCCCAGTATTATATTCATAGGAAAACAGATAAACAGTACAACCTGAGTGTTTCCTACCACATCAGTTTTAATGAAGACACTTTTATATTAGGATCCTGTCATTTATAAATTGTTTGTATTTTAAATTTTTTTGTGTCTTAGTGACATAAATTGTTAATCATTGGGATACATGTGTTTACTTTCACCCAGTGAAAAATTGCATGTCTAAGCTCAACACAATCTGGTCATAGAGATGTCTCCACATTGTTCAAATGGTCTCTTCTGTGTAGCATTTTAGGAAGTTGGATCCAGGAGCAGCAAGGTGGGCCAGATTTCTCCTAACTTTATTCTTAGCTCCTCTTTCCCAGCATTACCTTTACATTTTCCCAAGACCAGTAGAAAATGAACAAATCCCAGGTGAGTTGTTTAGTTGTTATTATCAGCTTTATTTATAATGCATTGTATGAGGCTTTTAAGGGTCATTAGAATGGAAATATAGAAATCAACAGGAAAATAGACAATAGCAGACTGATAGCATGATTTAATATATAGGTAAGTACAAGTTTTATGGTCTTTCATAGTTATCAAAATTGAGCTGTAAATTTGAATATTTTTGATAGCCATTGCACAAGGCAGACATCTGTCACATGATTTATATTTCCATAAAGAAAAACAGTATTATGAATGGGGCATGAAAACTTCCTGGCAGTGAGTCTGAAATTGTTCTCTTTTTGCACTCTGGATGGGCCATGAAGTGTACAACCTTCCAATAACTTCAATAAAAGAAATTCAGCCTCTTTCAGTAGTTCTTCAGTGGGAACAAAGGACTCAAGAGCTTTGAGAAAACTCAGTGAATATAGGTTTTCAGAGAATCAAAATATTGTAGTCTGGTATAGTATGTAGATTAGTAGAGTAACCACTAGCCATATGTGGATATTGAAATATAATTAAAATCTGTTTCATAAGTCACATAGTAACATTTTAAGTGCTTAGTTGCCACATGTGGCTAGTGGCTACCAAGTTGGACAGCACTACTCTAAGCCATTTTCTGGTGTTGCTGCTTGATACAGGGAAAAAATATAGAGTATCTGGAGGAAGAAATCAAGTGCATCTTCAGACTATTTCAGTAAATGATTTTTTTCCCCATTTAGGTGTATTTATGGGGTAGTATAGACAGTTCGCAGTTACACTCTCTGGCATTTGTGCCTGTAATTCTATTTCACATTTCAGACCTTTCTGAACAAACCAGAAGAGGTAAAGGAACTGAGAAAGTGTGATTTACGGTATAAATTGAAATGGATATATTATGTTCAAATATTAATATAATAGTTGATAAACCAAGATTCAGAGCAAAACCAAAATACATTACAAAAAGTATGAATGGCTGAATTTCTTATCCAAGACAGACTATCATACCGGGTTTAAAAAACCAGAATACAGCCATATTGTTTCTTAAAAACATGCTTTTAAGAAATCTAAAAGGCTGGGCGGGGTGGCTCACACCTGTAATCCCAGCACTTTGGGAGGCCAAGGTAGGCAGACACCTGAGGTTGGGAGTTTGAGACCAGCCTGACCAACATGGAAAAACCTCGTCTCCACTAAAAGTACAAAATTAGCTGGGCGTGGTGGTGCATGCCTGTAATCCCAACTACTCGGGAGGCTGAGGCAGGAGAATCGCTTGAACCTAGGAGGTAGAGGTTGTGGTGAGCCGAGATTGCGCCATTGCACTACAGCCTGGGCAACAAGAGTGAAACTGCTTCTCAAAAAAAAAAAAAAAAAAAAAAAAAAAAAAAAATCTAAGAGATGAAGGAAGGAAAGCAAAGAAATGGGAAAAATGTTTTTGGCAAAAGCAATTAAAAGGCAACTAAGAGCACCTTTATTTATATCAAAGTGGAACTTGTACCCATAATGGTATGAAAATAGATATCACACAATGATAAATAGCAAAATTAGACAAGAGGATAAAAGTCATCTTTTTATGTAGCCAAATAGAAAAGCAGCTGCTACCTTGGTTATTGAAAACTATTAAGAGAGGCAAAAACCTCTTTCAGCTTATAACAGATCAAAAAGGTTAAAAATAAGGCAAGATAGCTAACTATCCTGTATTCTACCCAATGGAATATTTTACTCTTCAAGGAAAAATTGCAAAGATTGAAGAGATAATCATACCTAAAATTCAGTGGTATTTATTCTGTGTCAGATGGTTTTCTAAATATCTTAAATTTATATAATCTAATCTCAACAGCAAACGTGTAACATAGATATCATTGTTTTCCCAAAATAAAACTGAAGTAAAAAGATTAAGTGCCGTGCCTATTATGGGATCTAGGTCAACAAATTTTTCATCCCTCTTTTTTCATCATTACATCATATTCTGGTCACTAAGAACATTTTTTTGTTGTTTTTTTGATACAGAGTCTTGCTCTATCACCCAGGCTGGAGCGCAGTGGCATGATCTCAGCTCGCTGCAACCTCCACCTTTCAGAATCAAGCGATTCTCCTGTCTCAACCTCCCGATTAGCTGGGATTACAGGCGCGTGCCACCATGCCTGGCTAATTTTTTGTATTTTTAAATGAGATGAGGTTTCATTGTGTTAGCCAGGATGGTCTAGATCTCCTGACCTCGTGATCTGTCCACCTCGGCCTCCCAAAGTGCAGGGATTAGAGGCGTGAATCACCGTGCCTGGCCCAGAAAAATTTTTTTCTTTTTTTTTTTGAGATGGAGTTTTGCGCTTGTTGCCCAGGCTGGAGTACAATGGCGTGATCTCCGCTCACTGCAGCCTCCGCCTCCTGGGTTCAGGCAATTCTGCCTCAGCCTCCCAAGTAGCTGGGATTACAGGCGTGTGCCACCACGCCTGGCTAATTTTTTGTATTTTTAGTAGAGACAGGGTTTCGCTGTGTTAGCCAGGATAGTTTCCATCTTCCGACCTCAGGTGATCCCCCCGCCTGGGCCTCCCAAAGTACTGGGATTACAGACGTGAGCAACTGTGCCTGGCCCGAACATTTTTAATACTAAAAAATCGAAATTTGTTAAGAAGTAGAATTTTGAGGCCAGGCGCGGGCCCACGCCTGTATTCCCAGCACTTTCGGAGGCCAAGGTGGGCGGATCACCTGAGGTC